CTTCACTGCCTTTGGTGAAAAAAGGTGCAGTGCCCATTAACTGTTTTTTTTTCTAGATTAGGTCAAGGTCAAAGTATATCTGTGTAAATCCATTGCCCAGAGCATGCCTTGTTGATCTGGCCTTACCTGCCTCATATCTTACCCAAAAGGTGCCTATGAGAAAATGTGCATGTCAAAGATCAAGCTCAGAATCCAGTTCTAATCCTTTACGTGTACTTGTCCCAATCACTCTTATGCCCTTTACTAAAGTGAGGCCCTTTGAAACTGGCACCATTTGAAAGGATGTTATTTATTTTTCAATCTTGATCTGTTTAAGCTTTTTTTTTTGCCATAAGACTTACTTCTTTACGATTTATTGCAGCTAATAATATGCGCCTTATTTTTATTTCAAAAGAATATTTTAATTTGATCTTTTAATTACATTTTTTACTTCAATAAAATTGCAATTTTATGCACAAGATATGCAAGTTTATGGTCAATTATTCAAATTTAAATCAGCTGTTGAGGGACCTTGAGCTGATAAAACTCCAGTCAATTATTTTTCACGCTATGTCTATGTTCGATACAGTTTTGATTCTTCTTTCTTAGTTCACCTGAGCTGAAAGCTCAAGTGAGTTTTTCTGATCACCCGTTGTCGTCGTCCGTCCGTCCGTCCGACTGTCCATCTAGCTGTCCGTCTGTCCGTCCGTCTGTAAACTTTTAACATTTTCAACTACTTCTAAAGAACCACTGGGCCAATTTTAACCACACTTGGTACAAAGCATCCTTGGGAGGGGAGTTTAAATTCTTAAAACGAAAGGCCAAGCCCCCTTCCAAGGGGAGATAATCAAGAAACGACAAAAATAGGGTTCGGTCATTAAAAGATCTTTTTCTCAAGAACCCCTGAGCCAGAAAAGCTGAAACTTTTGTGGAAGCATCCTGGGATAGTGTAGATTCTAAATTGTTCAAATCATTACCCCCGGGGTTAGGGCGGGGCCACATTAGAAAATCCAAGATTTACATTGAAAAATGTAGAAAAAATCTTTAAAAATCTTCTCAAGAACTACTAGGTCAGAAAAGCAAATTAAAGTGGAAGCATCCTGGTGTAGTGTAGATTCTAAATTGTTCAAATCATTACCCACTGGGGTAGGGCAGGGCCACAGAAGGGAATCCAAGTTTTACATTGACAAATGTTGTAATAATCTTTATGAATCTTCTTCTCAAGAACCACTGAGCCAGAAAAGCTGAAACTTATATGGAAGCATTCCGGGGTAGTTTAGATTCTAAATTGTACAAAACATGACCCCTGCGGATAGGGCGAGGCCACAATAGAAAATACAAATTTTACATTGAAATATATAGAAAATATATTTAAAAATCTTCTTCTAAAAAAAACACTATACCAGAAAAGCTGTAACTTATGTAGAAGCATCCTGAGGTAGTGTAGACTCTAAATTGTTCAAATTATGACCCCCGGGGGTAGGACGGGGCCACAATAGGAAATCCAATTTTTACACTGAAACATTTAGAAAAAAAAGCTTGATGAATCTTCTTCTCAAGAACCACTGGGACAGAAAAGATGAAACTTAAGTGGAAGCATCCTGGGGTAGTGAAGATTCTAAATTAAACGAATCATGACCCAGGGGGGTAGGGCGGGGCAACATTAGGAAATCCAAGTTTTACATTGGAGTATGTTGTGATAATCTTTATGAATTTTCTTCTCAAGAACCACTGGACTGGAAAAGCTGAAACTTAAATGGAAGCATTACGGGGTAATGTAGATTCTAAATTGTTCAAATCATGACCCACGGGGATAGGGCGGGGCCACAATAGGGAATCCAGGTTTTGCATTGAAATATGTAGTAAAAATCTTTAAAATTCTTCTTCTCAAGAACCACTGGGCAAGAAAAGCTGAAACTTGTGGAAGCATCCTGGGGTAGTGTAGATTTTTCTAAATTGTTCAAATCATGACCCCAGGGGGTAGGGCGGGGCCACAATAAGTACTACACGGGGGAATCGGGTGAAAAACAGCAAGGCCAAAGTTACTCAGGTGAGTGTTGTGGCCCATTGGCATCTTGTTTAGGGTTCTATTATCTTATACAAGATTAGATTACTGTAAATCAAAGGATCATTCTCTATAAGGCTGTTTTGCGGCCTACAATGGCTTCAAATTTTCAAATAGTATTTTTTCCCTTAAAAACTGCATGAGTCAGTAGGCTAATGTTCCAGTTTAACGATAAATGTTGATTGGTTAATGATACAAAAGTATTTGTTATGATGTAGGGTCACAAAGTAAGGTACTATCGGTCCGTATTAGCATTAGGGTAATGGGAAAACTCAAGAGGGTTGGTGTGTTAGGTAACTCCTACACATGTCATAACCACCTTTAACCAACACCAAAATTTGCATGTAAACTTCTTATGTACATAAAAAGTGACTACCAAATTATCAACTTGGTTAAAGGTGGTTATGACATGTAAATAAAAACTTTTCGCTTCATTTTTGCGATATTAGCAGGAAAAGCTAACTACTCACAATGAAGGATATCAGCTTATGTAGATTATTTCTTATTATAAACTTCCACTTAGAGTACATGTTTCTATTGATTTACTAAGAATTAATATAAGCCATGCATGTTTACTCAAAAAAGGTAAACTTTTTAGTTAAAAAATCTAAAATCAAAGGACTGAAATGATTGGTTGTTATGAAATTACGTGAAGACAAGTCTCATTGAACTATCTGCTAGAAATAAAGATTTTTTTTTTATAGACTATAAGGCATGAATATAAGTTACTTATTATAATTATTATTATTAATAGGGTAGTTTAGTTTATCTATGCTAATTCTTTGTATTTGTATTTCCTTAGGAGTACTGCATATTTGTTATTAGTTCTAGAAATGATAAAAGCTATTTTTGTTGTAGCGGGAAGATGCATTTGCTATTTGTGTTATAAACTTTATTTTTCTATGGGTACACATGTAACTTTTATAGATAGAGAATTACTGATGGGATGGTTTCATAATGGAAATTCTCGCCTCGACCTTTTAGAGGGACACTTTTCCGTATGAGTGACATAGGATCCATGTATTTTGTTAACTGGGTGTTGAGAGAAGTCAATCTATTTATCACACTTCTTTAGTAGCATCAATTAAAGTTATGAGAACAGTAGTTCTGTCTTAGAAAATAAAACGCCAAGGAGGAAAGGGGTTCCTAAATGTCACGTGATTGATAATTGAATGTTGTTTTACGTCATTTTAGAATTTTTCACCCAGATAAAGAGATCATCCACTTAAGGTGAAGTGTCACAATTTTGATTTATGCATGGTTTCAGTATTGACCAACACCTACCGAAGGACACGACCTCCTTCTTTAAGATAATATCCAAAAAACCCATGAATTTTACTTTCAGTGCTGAGGATGTAGTAAAGGAACTGTCACTACCCGTGTTAAACACGTTAGTTCTTGACGCAGCACGGAAGGAACTGTTGAAAATCTACTCCATTTTATGGAGTGCCGTGGGGGGGGGGGGGACTCGACTTTTATATATACATTTGTGTATTATAGTTTAGATAGCATTTTAAATTAAATATATTGTTTTACATTAAATTGAATCAAAGAAACTCTTACGATGTTATTTCATTTTACGTCGATATATATATTTTTAATACAACCTTTTGAGTTTTATGTACTGACTATTAACATGTACTTGCATTAATATTTTTATCCTGTAAATTAATGAATTCTTTATTATTATTATTATTATTATTATTTTTTTTTTTTTTTTTTTTGCAAATATAGACTATATTTTATAAATTACAATTTAATTTTTTGATTTAATCACAAACAAAATTCATTCATTGCTTTAAACATTTGATACACAACTTTTATAGTTCAATAGAAACTTAGAAATCTCATTTCTTGCATGGACATTTTATGCATAAAATAGGTACCACATCTATAGAAACAATACACAATTACAATATAAACATATATGAAATAATACTTTTAATTAAATGCTAATTAAACATTTTTCAACATCATACGAGGTGCATTTTGTAAAGATTTACATTCAAAATATGCAAAATGTGAATGCATCATAATTCTTGCCATAAAAAATATCTTTAGCCTTAAATTAAACAATCTTTGCTTTTATTACTTAAGTCTGATATGTTTCCGACATAAATAAACGAATTTTGATCATTTACATCTAGAAACATGCATAGAAACTTGATGTAAATAGACCTACCCTAAGTTTTTCTTTACTTGACGGCCGTTTGTGATCTTTAAATCACGCGACTTAGGTGATCGATGTTGAAAAACAAACATCAAAATCATGAAATACAATGATTAAAGTTACATAAAATCACATTTTTAAGTGATTTTATCGTAGGCCGGAAAATGGCCTTATAGAGAATCATCCTTTTAAACTCGAGGAGATAATTTTGCGTAATTACGCCAGACTGTCTGTAAAGCCCGAGTCAGTACATTTGACAATGCTTTATTCCAGTGCGTCATGCACATATATCTCAATATATAGTGAAAGCTACAACAAAAAATATACGAATCATAAGCTGGCAGCCCTTAACTTGATGGACATTATATCTTTACACAAGAAATATGGCGCGAAAAGGATCACATGTATGATGTACTGGTTTGACATTAACTACAGTTCTAGATCACTGTTTATCACTGACATTATCAAATACATGTAATAATTCAATCGATTATACTGATAAAAGAATAAACTTACACTTTGATGGGCTCCAAATAATCAAACAATGTTACGCAAATAACTATAAATACATGTGCCCACTCGGGCGGAAATGCATGAACTAAAAATAATTCGTACCAGTAATGATTAACTCGTACCAAAAATTTTCTTAACAACATAACATTACACTCCCCGCCTGATATGCTAATATCACAACATATATTGCAACTTCAATCAACATCACTACTAGTGACTAGAATAAAAGATACCTATTTAGAAACATCAATCTACATGTGTACAGTTTGCACCTTATAGAGACAAGAGTTTAACAGTTTCACACACAGTGCGAACATACACAGTCTTTGCATCACCTCGAGCAACCTGTACTTCCACCTTTCGGACTAAACCATCCTCGCTAGGGAACACACGCACTACCACTCCTAGTGGCCACTGATTACGAGGTACATCTCGGTCGCGTAATAGAATGACGTCACCAAGTTTCAAGTTGTCATTCACAGACTCCCACTTCTGTCTTGACTGCAAAGTCGACAAATAATCCGACTTCCAACGCTTCCAAAAGGTGTCCGCTAGAATCTGAACGTATTTCCATTGAGAGCGATACATCTCCTTAGTATCCAACTCCACAGGATGCTGTGTCATGGTCCCGGTTTTCTGTGTTAACAGAACTGATGGTGTAAGTATAAACGGTGAGTTTGGGTCAGTAGAAACTGATACGATAGGTCTCGCATTAATAATTGCGCTGACTTCTGCCATTAAGGTGGATAGAACTTCGTGAGTCAGGTTTTGATTGGCTGGGTTTCTGAGCATGTTATCCAAAATACGTCTGGCTATCCCAATAAGTCTCTCCCATACCCCACCCATATGGGATGCATGAGGGGGATTAAATCTCCATACTGTTATGTGGTCTTCCAAGATTGAAATCAGTTTGGAGTCCTCTACATTGATAACCTTCATGTGTAGGGCGTCGGCGGCGCCAACAAAATTGGTACCTCGGTCCGATCTAAATTCTTTGACCTCACCACGAATAGCATAAAATCTCCTCATAGCATTGATGAATGATCCTGTACTCATTTCCTCAATGAGTTCTAAGTGAACAGCTCGACAGTACAAGCAAGTAAATATCACAGCCCAACGTTTCGAGTTAGCACTTCCTCCACGTGTGCGTCTGGTTAACACATCCCACGGACCGAACACGTCAACACCAACGAATGTGAAGGGTGGACAAGGTGTCAAACGGTCTCTAGGTAAGTCACTCATCTTTTGTTCTACAAACTTCCCTCGCAATCTCCGACAAGTTACACAATGAAAGAGTATGGACGATATGAGGCGTTTCCCTCCAGTGATCCAGAATCCTGCCTTCCTAACGGCGCCTTCTGTGAGGTGTCTTCCTTGATGCTCAGTCTGTTCATGGAAACGTCGAACAATCAATGTAGCAACATGATGTTTTCCCGGGATCAAAACTGGATGTTTCTCACCATATGGTAGGTCTGATGTCTGGAGTCTACCTCCCACTCTTATGATCCCTTGGTCATCTATAAAAGGTGCAAGCTTTAGAATGGAGCTTGTCCGCGGTATGGGTCTGCCCTCCATTAGAGCTTCAGTCTCTCTAGGATACATGTCTCGCTGCACTGCTCTAACAATCTGGTTCTCAGCCTGCTTGATGAATTCTGTTTCATTAGTTTCAGTGTCTTTGTTCTTGTTTCTAAATTTTGTCAAGAATCGCAACAACACTCTTATGGCAGATAAGAGAGATTTCCAACTGGAGAATCGCTTGAAACGAGATGTTCCGAGATAATCTACGGTTTCTTTGCCATCTGCCTTGGTCTTGCACGAGGTAACCTCAGGACGAATCTCTCGATCACTCTCAGGGTTGACAAGATGAAATCCTTCACTCAAATGGCTCTCAGTTTCTGTGTACAAGAAGTCTGGACCTTTCAGCCATGAACTTTCCTGAAGCTGACACGCCAACATGATTCTGGTTCCCGAGTCTGCAGGATTTATCTCGGATCGTATGTAATTCCACTGATCAGGTTGAGATGACCTATGGATCCTTGCAACACGGTTGCTGACGTAAATGTAAAACCGTCTACTCGTATTCTGTAAATATCCTAACACCACTCGACTATCTGAGTAGTACTGAATGTCACTCAATTCCAGTCCAAGATGTTGAGATACCATCTCACCCACTTCAACAGCCAACACTGCCGCACATAGTTCAAGCCTCGGTATGGTGTGGCCATGTTTTGGTGCTATCTTGGATTTCCCATATGTGAAGCCTATGTGAATAGCGCCATTACTGTCAATAGCTTGCAGGAATGCGACGGCAGCAATCGCTTGCTCTGAGGCATCTGAAAACACATGCAAACGTTTCAGAACACAGTCCTTGTAAGGATGTTGAAGTAAACATCGAGGAACCTGAAGATGTTCTAGAGATTTCAAGGAGTCCTTCCAATTCCTCCAGTCCTTTATGCGACACTCTGGCAATGGTATGTCCCAATCTGTAGTCTCAGCTATCAAGTCACGCATCAGGATCCTCCCTAGGAGTAGGACTGGTGCGATCATTCCGAGGGGGTCAAATAGACTATTCACCACAGACAGCACACCTCTCCTGGTAAACGGCTTATCATCGTCACGCACACGGTATGTGAATGTGTCTAAATTGAGGTCCCAGACCAGTCCAAGACTGTGCTGCAAAGGTAAGTCAGCCTTAGCAATATCTAAAGTTTTTAAGTCACTTGCTAAGTCCTCCATGCAAAAATTATTCATTACAGTTTTACTGTTGGACGCTATCTTATGAAGCTTGAGTTGTCCCTCTTGATAAAGAGTCTCTTGTGTGTTCCGTAACACCTTTATAGCTTCCTCTTCTGTTGGGAAGGATGCCAAACCATCGTCCACATAAAACTGGTTGTTAACAAATTCCCTCACTTCTGGATCTTCAGACTGTGCCACGCAACGACGGAGACCATAGGTCGCAACCGCCGGAGAAGGAGAATTTCCAAAAACGTGGACACACATCCTATACTCAACTAGATCCTTCTGGGGATCGTGGTCCTGGTGCCAAAAGAAACGCAGGAAATCGCGATGATTCTCTGTCACGAAAAATCCATAAAACATCTGCTGTATATCCGCCATTACAGCAACTGGTTCCTTGCGGAAGTGATGTAACACACCAACTAGGCTGTTCATAAGCACAGGTCCTGACATCAAAACAGCGTTTAGTGAGATTCCCTTATAGTTAGCTGAAGAATCGAAAACGACTCTAACTTGGTCCCTTTTCCGTGGATGGTACACTCCGAATAACGGTAGATACCAGCACTCCTGTTCTGTATCAAGTGGTGGAGCCACTTCTGCATGTCCATTATGCAGCAGCTTTGTCATGAAAGTGCGAAAGTGGTCCCGTTTCACAGGGTCTCGTTGGAGGTTCTTCTGTAAGATTCGTGCACGTTTGAGAGCTTCCTCTCTGTTATTTGGTAAAGGGGAACGCGACTCCTTAAAGGGTAATGGTGCTTCCCAATGACCATCCGGCGTTTTCTTAAACTCCTTACCCATGATTTCCAAGAACTGTCGGTCCTCGACAGAGTATCCGTCTTTCTCATCATCCGTTGTCCGAATAAACACATCCTGTCCAATTCCGTCACTTTTCACAGTATTTATCGAAACAGCTAAGTGATGATCACATGGTTCAAATGCAGATGGTCGTCCACTACTCAGGATCGTAGTCTTATTGACGCTAGCTACAGTCGATGGTGTACATGTGTCTCCTAGACATACGTTACCAATCACAACCCAACCAAGGGGTAGCCGCTGGGCAAATGGAGCAGTCCTAGGCCCAGTTTTCTGTTCCAATACATGGTGTACTTCTGGTAAGTCTCTTCCAATAAGAAGTAAAATGTTTGCCTTCTCGTCAAGAGGAGGGATCTGAATACCTTTCAAGTGTTCAAAATGTGTGATCACATCTGGTGTGGGGATCTCTTGGCGATCATTTGGAATGTTATTGCATTCGATAACTGGTGGAAGACCAATTCTAAATGTCTTATCTAACGATTCAATTGTAAGTCCAGACATCTGTCGTCCAGTAACAGATGAGCGTCCAGCACATGTAGATAGGGTATATTGCACAGACTCTGTCTTAGGGCTACACAGAGCATCAAAGAGCTTTGAACGGGCTAGTGTCCTATTGCTCTGATCGTCGATAAGAGCGTAAGTATGGTAATAGTTCTGAGGTGTGTCAGTGGAGTATATACGCACAAGTACTGCTTTCCCACAGGATTTCCCAGAAAATCCTGGTCCACATACTTCCGTACACAAAGAGGTTTGTGGCTCCCCGCCATGGAGCTCGGCTGCTACACTGACCCTTGGCTCAAGATTGCTTTGAGTTCTATGGGCAACACCAACATGCAGTGCTGTCGTATGTTTATCACTCGAACACACTCTACACTTAACCGGCACAGTACAATCCTTTGCGCGGTGATCTGTAGACGCGCAACACTTGAAACACAAATTGCGGTCACGCAAGAACTTCTTCCTTTCTGTCATGGAGAGCTTAAGAAAGCCTTTACAGTCCTGTAAGCTATGATCTGCATTATGTATTGGGCACTTTGATCTCACAGAATTGTTCGAGTCCCCCACAGCAGTTTTTCTGTTATTTACACTGAGTCCCCTGTTTCCTGTTTGAACTGGCTGTGGATTACATGCAAATACAAATCCAGGGTCATTCCAGATAGTGCTCTGTTCACGAATAAATTCACTTAACTCTCTAAACGGAGGAAAAGCCACATTGTGTCTGTTTTTATATTTGACGGCTCTGTCTCTCCATTTGGACTGCAGAGATGGTGGTAACTTTGCAACAATAAGTGTTAAAGTACGATAACAAGTCCCTGAGCTGTGGGTCCTCCATGGCTGATTCAATCTCTGAGAGAATATCCGAGAGTACATAAAGTTTCTCCTTTTCTCTAACACTGATTTTAGCAAAGATTTCCAGTTTCCGTTTTAGTGCAGCTTCTATCACTTGTGGGCTGCCATACCTCTCATCAAGTCGACTCCATATTCTGAACAGACCTCTCTGGTGATCCAACGGATTTGACGAACGCACACTTATCGCCTGAGGAGTTGAACTCGGGCCTAAGAATTTCACAAGCAAGTCCAGTTCTTCTGATGCACTTATGTCAAGCTCCTTCATCACTGACTTGAAACTGTGTTTCCAGGCTAAGTAGTTCTCAGGTCGGTCATCGAACTTGGAGAGTCTTGTAAGAACAAGATCCTTTTTGAGAAGGAACTTAGCAAAGTCGGAACACTGATCTACAGGACGAGTCCCTATAGGTGGAATATGATCTACTTCGGGAGGAAGTAAGTCCCTATCAAATGCTGAGGTAGGTTCCGGAGAGAAATCCCATGAATGAACAGAGTCTTTCCATCCTTGTTCTGGTAGACAAGGTGCTCTATGAGTGTCATTGAGTCTGTTATCACGCGTGTTAGCTCGTAAAGGTATGTATGTGGATGATGTGACCTTCGGTCGACCTGGGAACAGTTCTCTAGCAGACGGGTCTGTTACCACTGGCTGTGCAGGGTGAAAGTCCATCTCTAATACGCTTAGGTGCATGTGGCTCCATATGTCTAGGAACAAATGCTGGGGTTTCGGCTGATAACTGAACTGACTGAATATTCTCCTCTTGAGCTTTCACAGATATCGGCTTGTATTCACTTGAACACCACGAACTAACATCTGTTAAATCCTCTAAACTAATGCTGTCCTTAGCATACATCTCTTCAATTGCACGTTTTTCTGCTAAAAGTTCAAGGTCCATCTTGATTAACTGCTGTTTATAGATGATCTCAGCTTGTGCTTTCTTTAATGCAGTTTCCTCATCTGCGTACTTCATATGGATTTTGGCGAGTTCCGCGCTTACGGAGACGTCCGACATGATGCGTGAGCTGCGTACAAAGTCTTTCACTGTAAAGCCCGAGTCAGTACATTTGACAATGCTTTATTCCAGTGCGTCATGCACATATATCTCAATATATAGTGAAAGCTACAACAAAAAATATACGAATCATAAGCTGGCAGCCCTTAACTTGATGGACATTATATCTTTACACAAGAAATATGGCGCGAAAAGGATCACATGTATGATGTACTGGTTTGACATTAACTACAGTTCTAGATCACTATTTATCACTGACATTATCAAATACATGTAATAATTCAATCGATTATACTGATAAAAGAATAAACTTACACTTTGATGGGCTCCAAATAATCAAACAATGTTACGCAAATAACTATAAATACATGTGCCCACTCGGGCGGAAATGCATGAACTAAAAATAATTCGTACCAGTAATGATTAACTCGTACCAAAAATTTTCTTAACAACATAACATTACACTGTCTGCTTGCTAAAGCTTAATTCTTACATAGATCAATATCATAAAGGATTATGTACGAAAATAAACAATATTCGAGACAATTGTTTTTCGTTACATATACCAAACACACAAATATTTTTTGACAGTATTCAAGCACCAAAATTATGAATTTAGTCTAATATCTACAAGACATGCTTTTCTTTTGCACACTGCATATTGATAGATTCAATATAACGTAATTTTATCATGGAAGTCAAAAATTGTCGTATTTTGTGATTGGTCATCAACAACATTACTTTTTTTTTTAAATCACTCTGATTCTCCACACAAGTACTGTGAAGTTGATATTAAAAGGATGCTGGAGTTTCTCATTGACAACAGTTATGTAGTCTTCGGAGACCAGGACGTCCAACAATAAGTTGGAATTCCGATGGGTACTAACTGAGTTATTTTATTACCTGACATATTTTTATATTGATATGAAGCAGAATGCATTCAAAAATTTACTTACTTACATTCATATTTCGACTCGGTCAATCCCAGTGAAGAAATAAAAGACACAACAGAGGCTGCCACATACGTAAAACGAGAAAATATGGCTCACTGCTAATTTTAACGCCCTTGGCGCAAGGGTCCCCGAGCGCTAAAATTATTGTACGCTAAGGAATTTCTAAATATTAAACTTTTTTGTGTTCAAATCAATCACTTAAGTGCATGTAAACCGGAACGCGCTATTACGTAATGTCGTAGAGTAGCTGTATTTTTTGTATATACACACTCTCGCACTGGTAAACTGCATGATCAATCGAGAAAAGTCTGCCAAATCATGGATTAATCAGTTAATTAAACAATTGTTAGTTGTTACTTGGCACTTATCGTTAGCACCTTCAAAGTTGGGCTTCTCGCCATGTCAATCATATATCGCCTAGATTAAGCATGGCGATAGACCTTGCAGACAATACCTGATTATGTTTACCAGTTATCCAAGTATCTTTCCTTCGATTCATGCATGACTTTAAGAAGAAACTCATCATTTTTTTTTATTATGCCTCGAGATCGAAAGATCCTGGGGGTATATTGCTTTTGTCCTGTCTGTCTGTTTGTCTCTTTAGCTGTTTATCTGTCTGTCTGTTGTCAGCTTTAACCTAGCCCATAACTATTGCGCTATCAAGTGCAAGGCCTTAATATTTGACATGACTGTTCATTATGTCAAGACCTTTCCTTGGGTACCACCATATATAACCTTTTGACCTTGACCTTGGAGTTTGATAAAGTTTTGCAAAATTTTACCAAACTTTAACCTTGGCCATGACTTTTGGAACGGTTGGTGCTAGCGCTTTCATACTTCACATGTGTAATCCTCGTGACAAGACCCTCCTTTCGATACCAACAACTCTGACCCTTTGACCTTGATCTTGGAGTTTGACTTACTTTTGGAAAACTTTATCCTTTGCCATAACTTTTGAACAATTGGTGCTTCGGCTTTCATAATTCACCTGTGTATTTCTTGGGAGAAGGCTTTTCCTTTTTCAGCATTAATTTTTACCATTTGACCTTGACCTTGTCTGACATACTTTTGAAAAAAAAAACTTTAAAATTTTTTCATATCTATTCAATGGTTGCTGATAGGCCTCTCATATTTCACAGGTTTATTCCTCGAGACAAGACCTTACTTTGGGTATCAACATATTTGATTTGCATTTGAGAAAGTTTAACCTTTGCTATAAGTTGTTATACGGGGGCATCAGTGTTTCACAAACACATCTTGTTGAAAAAGTTTAAAATCGACATTGTGCCGCTTCCATGTACCTTTAACACTACGGAAAATTGATCGAATGTTTACCTGTGTATGTGAGTTAGAAATCAATGCTATTGTGTTTGCGTGCTCGAATGACCACAAAATCAAATACGTTCGTGGATCAAAGAAAAAGTATTACATTTATATATTTTATGACAAGCGCTGAAATTTATTTGCACCAAATTAAAACTACTTCCTACTTGTATTTGCGCTAAAATACATATGCGCCAAATTTTCTCGTTTTACAGTATGTTTCAAAAGACAAGATAGGCTACGACCCCATTTTGGTCCCCGGTTCGGGGTGTCTTTAAGAGTGATGCAACAGTTTATCAGTTAAAAACCTGTTGTCATCCCTGCCACAAAATGAATATTTGTTCTAAGTTATGGGATACACAGAGGTCACAGGAGGGTTGGAAAATATGTCAATTTCCGAATTTTCTCATTTTTATGCAAATTTTACAGCACATTTTGGTTCAGAAAACATAGAGCACAAGCTTGCCTATCTATCAAATTTATATATATCATACACTAGTATCAGATGCATCTTATGTATAAAAATCTCAGATAGGCAAGCTTGTGCTCTATGTTTTCCGAAGTGAAAATCATCTCAAATTTCATGAAATTCGATCAGAATTGAGGAAATTCGGGAAAATGTCCTATTTTTGCACTCTCTTGGAATGAGAGTACCAAATCCCCGCATGTACACGTGGTTTTGTTTGTTACACAAAGTAGTATAGAGTACTGAATAGTGTGTGTTACCCTATTGGCTGAATTCAGGTATGTAACTATTTTCATTTTCAATTAAAAATATTAATGTTTAAATTAAATGATGGAATGTGGGAATATTACAGAGAAAATAGAAATACCAGGGGGGATTGTAGGAGTTGGGGTTGATATTTTTGGCAGTGTCATTTACTGCTGATCGCTATAAGTTGTAAACAAATTCAATTTTGATCTATAAACGCCATGGGACCCTATATTTTTTTCGGGCTTTTTTATAAGCGCTTAGAATACAGTTTCAAATGGTGCCAAGATTTGTCTAAAATTGAATTAGTAGAGTACAGAGAGGGCAAAAGGTTTGTATAGAGTTCTATGGGAAAATTATTGGTACTCTTTTCCCTATTGTCGCCTTCGTGTAAGCCTTGAATCAAAATTAGTGCTGGTTTTAAAACAAGCATCATTTTAAGTTCTTAACTACAAAAAAGGGATGGCAATTTGTAACCGGTTAACCGATTATTGGGTCGGAACGATAGTAATCGGTTAGAAAATCTGTAATCGGTTAGTCGGAAAAAATAGAATATATGACTGTATATCTGAACGCGATTGTCTTAAAAATTTTATTTCTAAAAAATAAACCTCTGCATAAAAGTTCATAATTTAGTGTTTTCTCCTATCAGTTTAAGCTTATTTATAGTGGGTAATTATTGCTGTCTGGATTGAGATCGCGGGGTAATTGGTCTGTTGTGAAGTGTTAATTACTGTTTCTAAAAACATCTTTTTCCGCTATCTATTAAATTATATCATTAGGCAAACATTGTAAATTAAGCGAAAGTTCAGACATAGTGCTAGTTTTGATTATTGTGACAATGCAGAATGAACTTGTGAGACATCTGCTCTGGAAAATTATCAATGTCTGATTTTACAGGCACGCATGTTTCAAGTTTCTTGTATAATGAAATTGAAATAAAATATATGTACATGTAGGTTCCTGATCAAGATAACCAGAATGTTTCTAACTTCTAACATTTTTTTAGTGTTCTTGTGTATATGAATAGAGCTACCTTAAAAAAGATGTCTAAAAATGTGCATTTTGATATGATTAACGGACTAATCGGTCGGAACGTCTTGTGGTTAACCGATTAGCAATTCTGTATTCGATTGCCATCCCTATTACAAACTATCACAATTTTACCTGTGTTCTGATTTTTACATCAAATGAGGGGCCAGATTCGACCATTACCATACTTTGTCCTTTGGATGTTTTAGTGACTACAGACGTTAATGGCAAACTAACAATAAAATTGTATGACAAACGAGATAACTGAAGTTTTTCCATCGTCACCTTTCCTTATCTATGTAGTATCATCCCACTATAACCTGCGTATGATGTTCACACCTCCCAACTTATTCGATACTCAAGAGCATGCTCCGAGTACGATCAATTTTTAAACCGAGACAGGCTACTGATAGATGAGCTGATGTTGCATGGATTTCAACAACCTCGTTTAAAGTCAGCATTTTAAAATTCGACGGTCGTTATAATGACCTTGTTGGAAATATAACCTTTCATTGGGTCGTATTTCGGCTGACATGTTTAATCAATTGTTATGCCTTCGTTTTTATACCGAATTTGAATACGGAATGTTACGTTTTACTGTTCTGTGAATAGGCATCGTGGCGGATGTTATCGATCACTAGAGGATATGCTTACTTCTAAAAAGCATCTGATCCCACCTCTGGAATTTCCAGGGGTCCGTGTTTTATGCCCTCTTCACATATTTGTATTGTTTACAGATTTTTTTAATATCAATCGTTTTTCGTTATTTCCATATTTCTTTTTTTCCTTTTCTTTATTTTTACATTTACACATGAACTATGGCTTTCATTTTGTTGATTAACTGAAGCAATATTGAAAGGCAAAACAGACAAATTTAAGCAAAAACGTAAAGTAGAATAGAACACTCAACTTGAGTAAACACTTTTTCTGGAAACAATGTACATTGCTAAAGGATGCAGAACAGAATTAAAAGTAGCTTG